ACACTGGCTGGGAATCCAGTCTCTTAAGAGTATTTCACGACGGCCTTTTCCCAGCAGTGCCACTAGCTTCTTGTCTCATGAGGGTACACTAGGGGGCCATGCCAGAGGGGTTTGATGTGATGGTACAAACCAGGACTGCCCTTTTCTGGGTGAGCTACTTGAGGAGTGGTCTGAGGCCTGCGGCTGCAGGTTGTTTGTTATGGCATGGCCTGAGCAGGCAGGGAGGAAGGGAGAGCTGGAACTGATCGGTCAGTGTCTGTCGCTGGCTGCCTTGGGCCAGCTCTCCTGGTGCGGAGCGGCAGGGAGGCTGAAGGCGTATGCTTCCCCTGCAGGAAGTGCTGCTGTTCCCAGCGATGAAACCCGAAGACAATAAGAAGGAGGCTCCCTGTAGCCCAGCGGAGGAGGGCACCTCGGTGTGACGGCTGAGCCAGGCCGCGTGGGACGGAGCCTTGGCTGGGCGCCGGCTGGGCGGGGGGGGAGGGGGGAGCGGGCGGCACGGGCGTGCCGGGCCCTGTCACCGATTAAACTGCGCTGAACTGCCCGCTGCCTTCTCGCGTGTTGGGCGGGGGCGGGGCTACGGGTGAGGCGGGACGAGGCAGCTCGGGATTGGTCGGTGCTGCGATCGAGCAGAGGCCCGCGGCAGCGCTTCCGGGTGAGGCGGGCCGGCGGGATGCTTGCGGACGAGGTGGCGGCGCTGTGCTACGAGCGCTACCGGGCGCTGCCGCGGCGCGGGAAGCCGGAGCGCGGCCGCGAGTGGACTCTGCTGGCGGCCGTGGTGCGGCTCGAGGCCGCGGGCCCGCGGGGTGAGCGGCCCGACGGCCGCCCCGAGGGAAGCAGGGTCTGCCCTGGGGGGACGGGCCTGCCCGTTGCGCCCGCGAGGGAGGGGGCTCTCCCGCCACCGCCCGCGGCAGAGGGGGAGGCCGGCGCGGCCCAGGACTGACCCCGCTCGCCTGCCGTGGCCGGCCCTCGCTGCCACCGCTGCTAGCACGGCCCGGCCCGGCCCGGCCCGGGCTAATAAAACCCCTTCTCCCAGTCCCGCGTCTCTGCCGTTTTGCTCGAGCCCCACGTGCCCGTTGCTTGGCGGGGGCGCGGGCGGGGGTCTCCTCTCCGCTGCGCCCCGCTTCCCGCGCCAGGGTGACCCACCGAGCTGGCTGCTCCGCCCCGGGCGGCTGCAGCAGGCACTTCCCGGCCAGCTGCGGGTGCTGGCGCGGCCCCTGCAGCCTGTGCAGCGACATCTGCCGCTGGCTCTTCCCTGAAGCCCTGGTTAAAAGCTGCAACGCCTCGCCCGCTTTACGGTGACAGACCTGGCCCGTGGTTTCTGAGCGACCAGCCGGGTGCTGCGTGTGGCAGCCTGGGGGTAAAAAGCAGATTGCTCTGGCATCGCCCCGAGGACCCGAGCCAGGCACTGGTCCCTCCCAGGTCTCCCGTGGGGGGGGGATGAGCCTCCGTCCCGTCCCCTCTTTGTTCATGCTTTCTCCTGGCACCATGCTCCGTTTTGGGGCCTCTGGCGCTGCCTGGTGAGGAGGGCTCCCACACCAGAGGTCCATCCTTGCTGTGGCTTGTGTCACGGTTGGTGTGACGCTGCGTGGTGAGCGGCCCTGCTCGGCCAGCTCTGCGCGGTAGTCTGCTACGTACCCTCTAGCCCGGTGCCCTGGCGCATGGGGCTCCCTGTCTGCTGCCTGAGATGTTCCTATTCGGGTGGTGAGTTTTGCAGCTGTTCTTTCAGCCAATGTTGTTTCCTTTTCAGTAACTAAGGAAGTTGTTGCTATGGGGACTGGAACAAAATGCATTGGCCAGACAAAAATGAGAAAAAGTGGTAAGTGTGGTGCAGAAACCAGCACTGGTCCTGGCCTCCCCGTCGCTTGTGTCATTGGCATGAGCTCAGTCTCCTGGACTCGAGCAAGGGCACAAGACAAGCACCCGTCCCTGTGGAGCTGCTGAGCTCGCCCGTCCACATCCCCTAAAGGGAACTAAGCAGAATCCATGTACGTGGACACTTGGGTCCTTTAGGCTCTTAAAGTGCCTGCTGTGTTTAAAAAGAAAAGGAGAAGAAAACCTTAGATCTGTTCTAGTCCAATTCTGTTAAGTGTGGTGCAAAGGGCACCACAATAAGAGCTACTTACTGACCAGGCCCAGGCAAGTGAGAGTGGTGCCCTCACTTCATTGTGTGCAGCAGACCTTTACACAGCAGTTAGTTATCTATGGTAGATCCTGAAGATGCCGAGGCTGTGAGAAGTTATTTCTCCTTGCTCTGCATCGTCACAGACTGCACCAGGCTGCTACTCCTTGGAGAATAACTGTCTCTGTAAATCATGTTGGAAAACAATCTGGGAAAAGGATGACCAAGAACTTGTCAATACAGGGCCTAGAGAGCAACGAGTCTAGGGTGCATAAGCAATGGAGGATATTGCCAAAACTGTGTCCTTACATCAGTGTCCTCTGGAAAATGCAGGACTTGTCACCCCATCTCCTGGAAGGTGACAGGGCAGAACTAGGGGGATTCAAAGAATAACAGTGAGAATGAACAAGGGCCTGAAAAACTGAAGAAATATTGACAGACTGGGATTGTCACTGTCAAGAGAAAGCTAATGCTGGGGAGATGCCAAGTACATGGATAACGAATGGCGTAGCAAAGGGGGGACGGAAGGTTCTGTCCCCCTTGTCCCACAACACAAAGGCAAGGGGGTATTCCACAACATTAAAAGGAAGGGAATTCAAAACTGATAGAAATACTGTTTCATGTGAGGCATATATAAATTGCAGCAGGAAGGTGTTCTGGCCAAAAACTTTACAAAATCTGGTCGAAAAAAGATGGGTTGTAGTTGGGCTATTGAGAGTATCTAGTGTTGCTAATGGCATGTTTGAGAACAGGTGGAAACCTTGTGTCTAGGGCTGAGTCGATCCCTGACTCTTAGGCAGCTGTGTGAGATTGATGATCCCAGGTTTGCCAGCTATAGGATCCTTGCACCTTCCTGCAGAGCTACACTCAGAGACAGGCTGTGGGAGTAGGTGGAATTTGGGTCTGTGCCACTGTGGTAATTTCTGTATTCGTAAGAGCTAAAATATTTATTCTGAGATGGGAAATGTGTTGTGCTCAGCTGCTCATATCTGCATTAGGTTTTAGTAAGTCAGGTTTTATTTTTGAGCATTGTTTTTTCCTAGCAAGGCTTCTGTTCATAGACATGGGTGCAAGTCTGCTGGTACTCTAATGACTTGACTGTGATTGGGTTTTTGGTGTAGACAGGTTATCCCCAGAAGCAGACAGAGTTCCTTCAGCACCAGTCTAATTTGATTCTTATGAAGAAATTTTCTTTAAAACAAGTAAATGTTTCATTTTATTTTTCTAATAAATGTTTCTCATGTAACTTAAAAACCTGTAGTGCATTAGAAAAGCCTCTTTATCAAACACCAAAATATCATTGCTGGTTTTCATAACATCTCCTGGCATGGGAAAAGTTTGTTTGTGTGGACTCTTAATCTTAGCAAAACCCTCTGAGCAGGGCAGGTAACTCTTAATGTCCATTCCTAGTGCTGACATGTGGTCCTGCCTGACTCCACTACCTTCAAAATGTGTAATACTAGATAGAAAAATGTGGGGAATTATGTCTGAAATGTCTCTTGTCATTTGCTGTTTTGCGGGGAAGAAAAGTGTGGTTAAGAATGCCATCTTTTAGCTCTGCAACCTAAAAGCTTTGGGGAGTTCATGTGTTCCCCAAACTCAATATCCAGTTTGGTGAATAAATTCCACTTTATTTTCCAATGTGCATATTCTCCTCATCACTATTCATGGCACCTGCTTCCTGCCTTCCATGCAATGAGGTTGACAAAGTTCTCCCACCCAGGTACTGTCCCACCCTCCTCTCCTGTGAGATCTGACTAGAGAACCTAGCACAAAGAGGCCTTAGGCGACAGTCCTTTGTTGGAGGCATGCAGTGAGTCACTGTACTGCAGGGCAGAAGTGTGATGGGAATCATTTGGGACAGATGGGTGGTTTAAATATCTGGAGGTAGTGCAGCTGTCTGAATCAGGCTGGGGAAGGTCTGCAGAAACAGGCAAGTTGTCCTTGTTAGATACTGCTGTACTTGCTGTTGCACTTGTTTTGCTGCCCTACATGCTGCTCAACGTCATGCTTCATTACAGACCTTTTCTGTGCTTTGCTGCAGGGGATGTTCTCAATGACAGTCATGCTGAAGTTGTGGCCAAGAGGAGCTTCCAGAGGTGAGGCACTAAGCCCTTAGTGTGCTGTTACCCAGTCCATGTCCTGTGTAGTCATGCCTGGTTTCCTCAGGATGTTCATGTTCCCATGATATAGATGCAGTGAAATACCCAGAGTGCCTCTTCCTCCAGTGCATGAAGCAGGGCAGTTCTATCTGCATGCAGGCAGCACGTTCTCTTGTTTCTTCTGCAGGCTGGTCGGCTGCAGGCCCTCCCCTGTGAGTGGGGTATGCTTTTTGTAGCCTCTCAATTTCCATGCTTGCATGCATACCCTGCTGGTAACCTGGCCAGGGGTTCATGGGCTGTTTCAAAACATGATTTTTTTTACTCTGTTTGAGGTTGTGAGTGGTTCTCAATCATTCTCTTGTCCATCAGGTATCTCCTCCACCAGCTGGGGCTGGCAGCCTCATACCAGCGGTGTAGCATCTTCAGCCCAGGGATGGAGACTGGGAAGTGGAAACTCAAGCCACACATCACTTTCATTTTCTTCTCTAGCCACACTCCTTGTAAGTGCAGCATTGCTGCCTACTCCCCTGCTCACTTCTGCCTGATGACCCTGTGCCATCTCCCCCTCTATTTTTGCTGGGTCAGAGCAAGGCAGTGCTCATCTCACCTCCATAATGTGGGCCCTAAAGCTGTAGTGGTTTGTTTAATGCATAGCAGGGAGCGTGTCAGTCTCTCCTGTTTTGGGAGGAATAGGTCAGCGGTTTCTTTTGCATGACCTGTCAAACTTGCCAGAGGCTCTGTTGGAGCATACTCAAGCCTGTCTCTTTTCCAGATTGATTTACTTTATCTGCCTTTTCACCTGTCAGGGGAGCCAAGTATGTTTATGTTCTGTTCGCTAGTGATGGTCTGTACCTTGCAAAGTTCGTTTGAACTGAAATGCAAGACTTTTCTTGTAAGAATTACTTCAGAGTAGATTTATGCTCTGACATAAGAAGCCCAACAATATCTGAACTGAAGAGGTTGCATTTCTGGAAGGACACCTGTCTGTGAACAGCACAACTCCAAATAGGCCACAGATATGCTTGATTGAGACTGAGCTGGCTGGGTCCAATAGCAGATCTTCAGAAAAGTAACAGAATTATGAATTTACTTTAGATTCATAGATCTAAAGTAAATCTATGAACCTAAAGTAAATTAATAATTCTGTTACTTCACAGTCTTTCATCACTTAGATGCAAGAACCTGTGGTGGCTTTTCCTTTGCCAATATGGATGCATGAGAAGAAACTGCATTTTCAAGTTTTAAGTGCTGGGAGAGAGAGAACATGACCCTTAATATCCTTCTGTCAGCTGTGCGTGAACCTCTCTGCATTCCAAGTTCATCCCTCAGCTTTGTATTTAGGGTCTGTCAGTTTAGCAGAGTGGTGGAAGGGTTCCATTATTGTGTGAGCGCATGCTCTTACACTCTCTATTTTAATGTTGCTGCTGTTTTGATCCCAGGCCCTTCTCTGCTTAGTGCAGGTGGCTTCTAGCATTTCTTTGAGGTATGCTGAAGCCATAGGAGGAGCATAAGTTGCGTCTGAATTTTCAGGCAAGACAGAGCGGGCTCAAAGTTCTGTAGGTGTAGTGTTGTGTAAAGAACTCATTGTTCCCAATGCTTAATCCATTTTCGTGAGGTCAGGTCCTTGCAGGGTGTGGCTTTTGCCACATCAGTGAAAGGATCTGCATGGGTCAGTAGCCACAAACAAGGCTCTCCTTGTCAGCCTGTGCTGATGTGGCTTCCTTTCTTCTAGGTGGGGATGCCTCCATTATTCCCATGAGTGAATCAGAGGACCAGCCTTGCAAGCCGGTTGGTTTAGAAGATGTGATGAGACAGTCAGCAGAGTGTGGTATGAACTGTGACCCCTTGGGTCCAGAAAACAAAAGGAAAACAGAGGAAACTGAAAGTGAGCAACTAAGCAAAAGAGTGAAAGTTGTCAGCAACAATTGTTCGTGGGGGGTCACTGAGGGGCCAGCTACTTCACAGGTTTCTGGGAAACAAGGGAGTTTACAACACGCAGACCCCAGCGCTGCTGCGTCCACTGAAGGTGGACAAACAGTGAGTGCAGTAGCTGCCCAGGAGGCTGGCCAGACGAGAGCCAAGGTGGTGGATGTTTACAGAACTGGAGCTAAGTGTGTGCCAGGAGAGCTGGGTGATGCTCTGGGGCCTGGGGTTGAGTACCATCACGTGGGATTGCTAAGAGTAAAGCCGGGCCGTGGGGACAGGACGTGTTCCATGTCCTGCAGTGACAAGCTGGCTCGTTGGAACGTGCTGGGATGTCAAGGAGCCCTTCTTATGCATTTGCTGAAGCAGCCAGTGTATTTCTCAGCGATTGTTGTGGGGAAGTGTCCATACAGCCAAGAGGCCATGCAAAGAGCAGTTGTTGAAAGGTAAGGAACCTTACTTGCTTGGATTGGGGTCGATCAGCGATGCCTGAAGCATGAAGGTGCGTGATGGTGCCTAGCAGAGGGGATCTTTGTCTCTGTTGGACCTTACTAACCCTCCCACCCAAATCTACCCTTATGTCAGTCTGGGTGTGGGTCTGAAATCTTCATTGTTTTTTTGGATCGTCAAACAGCTAGATCTGCAAGGGATGCTATCTGGTACTGGCAGCTTCTTTCATTGTGAGACTAGCTATTAGAAACAGCTGCAGCATTAGACATGTGCCTGTTCATGCTTTTATACGCCCAATTATGTTTTATCTTTATTCATATTCCCCAGGGGCACGTCTGTGAGGGGCCGGCAGGGGAGTTTCTGCTTCGGGGCAATCAACATGGGTTCATTAGAGGCAGGTCCTGTCAGACCAACCTGGTGGCCTTCTATGACCAGGTCACAAAATCCTTGGACGCAGGTGTCGCGGTGGACGTAGTCTTTCTGGACTTTAGGAAGGCGATTTGGACGAGGGGGTGAAAAGCACCTTGTTCAAGTTTGCAGATGACACTAAGATGTAGGGAGAAGTGAGCACGCTAGAAAGGAGGGACAAGCTTCAACTAGATCTGGACAGGTTACAGGGGTGGGTGGATGAGTATAGAATGGGTTTCAATATGGAAAAATGCAAGGTGCTGCACCTGGGGAGGAAGAACCAGCAGCAGACCTACAGGCTGGGGAACTCCCTTCTTGTCAGTGCAGAGGCAGAAAAGGATCTTGGAGTCATTATTGATGCCAAGACGAACATGGCCCGCCAATGTGGGGACGCGGTCAGGAAGGCCAACCACACCTTGTCATGCATCCACAGATGCATCTCGAGCAGCTCCAAGGATGTGATCCTCCCCCTCTATGCAGCACTGGTCAGGCCGCAGCTGGAGTACTGCATCCAGTTCTGGGCGCCGCACTTCAGGAGGGATGTGGCCAGCATGGAGAGGGTCCAGAGGAGGCCACCCACATGATCGGGGCAGCAGGGCAGGTCCTACGAGGAGAGGCTACGAGACCTGAACCTGTTCAGCCTCCGCAAGAGAAGGCTGCGGGGGGGTCTAGTGGCCGCCTG